AAGACAGACTATGGAGCTACCCAAAAAGGAAACAAACATTTTTTCCCTTCACAAAGAGAGACAGAACTAGGACAACTTATCCAAATCTCTGAGCAATATAAGCTTAACCTTGGGTTAACTGGATAAATTGTGAGAAGCCCCCAAAATCCCAGAGAACATGAGAGAGGATGAGTATATATGAACAACTGTCAGAGAACTGCTAGGACCAGAAGTCACTCCTTCTATGAAAAGGTAGGTTAAATATGCTGTTGTCTAGTACCTGGTTCACACAAATGATCAGATGAGATTGTAAAACTATCACTTCAGATGGGGGATTGCATGGACAGGTGTTTCTGCATGGGGGGAACCCCCATCTACACAGAGCTAACATATCAAGGAGAAGGCTACATTAAAACTCCTACTTTTCCATGTGCAGGGAAGTTGTTGGGAATTTTTTTTCCAGTATAGAGGAGCCTCCCCCCTTCGTCTGCAGTCCAGGAATATCTTTACAACTTCAGTTGTCATTTGCATGGAATAGGTATGTTAAAAAGGGTGAATGTGGCAGTATAGAAGAGCACGGACTTCCTAGTCCATTGAACAAGGGGGAAACATCCCAGCCACTGGCCATGAGTAGGGGCATGTAGTGGTCAGCGTCTGTGTATAACGCTCCCCAGTGGCTGCAATGTCAACACTTCAACTCACCTGGAAGGCAAAGGGGAGGGAGGGAATCAAACAGGGCCTGTTGTTGCCAGGTAAGATGTACTCCCAAGCCCCCTCCAGGTATTCACAGGATCCCGCAGAGAGAAAGAAAAGATTCAAGCTAGACTTGGGGGGGGGGGGGATTTGAACATCCACTGTTGGTCAAGAGCAGTTTTATTAAAACTGTCCTATGCCAACCTTCATGTGCTGCCACGCACAATGATACACTTTAAAAGGTTGCTTGGTATTAAAAACTAGTACAAAGTGTGGTTTCTTTCTGACCCTTTCTGTAAAGTAGGAAAAACCTCTGGTAATACTTTAAAAAGTCAGCCTAACCCTCCCCCCCCCATTAAATTGGAGTGGCTTTAAAAATAAATTTCCCTTCACAGCTCCATTGTCACATCTCTAATAATACATTGAAGACATCACTGCAGCACTGAATGCCATTGCACACATCCATTTCACTGGCATTTAATGAAAAAAGGGTCAACAAAGAGGCAATGGGGGCACAAGGCAGGCACTTTATGCCCATAGCAGCAGCTCCTAATTTAATTGGGTGGACCCACTAACACACACACACACCAAACTGGCCTGCTTAACATACCACCACAAACCCTCAGTTGAGCCTGCAGTGGCATGTCACAAAGATATCAGGTTCTCTCTATGGTACCTACTAGACATGATCAACTCCCTACAAGCGGTGGGGGGAAGACTCCATATCAGCCTTTCCTTAAGACCCACTCAATTAGTCCAGGCTTTCAACCATCTAAAGGTTCTCTACCCCATGGCTTAGGAAAGAGCTGCTCTCCTCCTCTGCCTCTCCAACCCATGTCGGGCTTGGTCTGCCCATTTTCCAATAGCTCTTTGAGGCCCGTTACTTGCAATGCACGCTTAAGTCGAGCACCTGCGTTCTACAAACTGGGGATCCAAGTCAAGTTCCCTTAAAAGGCTGGCTTGCCGAGGCATTTCTCAAAGTCATTTTCTCCTTTAGACCCCGCCCCCGGCAACATAGAAGCCCAGAGGCATTAGTGCAAAATTCCTTAATGTAGACTTGGAGGGACCAAGTTCTAGCTACATAATAAATAATTAAATAGACTGTCCTCCTTAACTGGAAGCTTAATAAAGCCTTCCAAGGCGAAGGGCTTTTTTCCTTTCAAATAGCAAAGCTTGTTACTGCAAATTCTCCTCCCCACCCCCACCCCGAGGTCAGTTTCAAGTTTCTCTTTGGTGCAGTCAAGGAAGGAGATCGGAACAAAAAGTCCTTTCAGAGTCCCAAAGGAATTCAGTGCTAACTTATCCAATTACAATGGGATCTGTTCCTTGCACACAACAGTGGTGGAGGGGAGAAGACTACGGAAGTGGGAAAAAAGCAAAAAGAGCTGCAGAATGGATAAAGGAGGAGCTGTGCGCCTGGTGACAAATGGAGGCTAGAGGCAGCAGTGATGGGAGCATTAAGGATTCATGAGCAGTAATTGTGAAATCTTAGATACATAGACAAAGCATGCCCTGTAGAGCAAGCACAGGAAACAGAACAAACAGTGGGCTAGGCTGAAGCAAGGAAGTGGCAGGATACTGAAAGCCAGGGTGGCATTAGTCTCCTTGGTTGTGGTTTCTTGAGTCTGCATATGGACTTTTAGGGCTCTCCCAACCAGGGCTTGCAGTGCAGCAAACACACAAGTTCTCCATGTTTAATAGCATCTCACTCTCACACACACACACACAGCTGGGAAGGACAAGGAGCATATTTTTGTTGCAAATGATAGATTAGGTCATAGCTAGACTCTCGGTTCTTCCTCTCGTGTTTCTCTGCACGGTCTCCCTAGGCTGCATCCAGACCTTGTTGGTTCCCCTGCTATCACTGCATTATAGTGATAATTTGCAAATGGATTTCCCTGTGGGATGGGCCGATCTGTCTGCAAAGGATCGCTGTAGCACTGTGATAATGTGATACATGATGGTGTATGGGTGCAGCCCTGGTGTACAGCTACTGGGAGCTATTGGTGTTTCCTTATCACCCTAGAAGCTCTTTGCTTCTGCCCTGCATTCGCTTTAGCTAAGCAGCTTAGGCAGTTTGTTCTACAAGGCACTATTGCCCCAATCAAACTCCTCCACTGGGTCTCAAGTTCTCTACTCATATAACAAGGCAACAGCCTTCTAGGAGAGGGTCAGTTCAACACTTTGACAGGGCAGTTGATGAAGCACATGGACGAAAAGGTTCTTCAGAGGAGCAGTGCTGACTAGGAATGCCTCCTCATTATGGTCCTGTGGTGCAAGACTTAGCCATCCGTCTTCCCAACAAAAGCTAAAGGAGATTCCGAGTGAGTTTGGGACTGCTTTCAACTGCGTCCTCCGCAAGAGCTTGACAAAGGGAAACTCACTTCATTTTTAAAAGGTGTAAAGGTGGACATGTCATAGCTAGCACAATGACGACTTGGTTAGTACCAAGAGCCATCCGGCGACTGAGCAAGACACATCTGACAAAAGGCTGAGAACTCAAACCTGTGTCTCACCATCACTGGATATTTCCATATCAGCCATTGTAACAAAAACATAGCCAATGCACAGGAGTTTCACCATGAGATCATAGTAGAGAGTGAACTGGCTTGGAGTTTTATGGAGACAGAAGAGAACAGACAGCTCGTTTGGCAAAAAGAAGGCCATGGCACATGCACAGCACACTCTAGAGAGACTAGGGGGACTGGACATAAGGGTGGGGGCAGTATGTGAAAGCGGGGGAAGCACAGATAGAAAACCAACCATACACTAAAACCACAGTTTCTCCAACCAATGAAGTGTTGTTGTTTTTCAGTTAGGGGCTCCTCCTGTTACTGCACATACATCTCCCATTTCTTGCATTAAGCATAGGGGGCCCAATATTCACTTACTTCTCTAGCAGCAAGCATAACATGATGTTTCCAACATGCTTATAGAGTTGCCAACTCCATAAATCAACTTGGAAAGGCACTAGGCCACCCCACAGAAAGTAGGTGGATGCCAGCAATAACGAGATTACTTAAATGCTTGGCATCTAGTTCTTGTCGGGGCCCTGCATCTGCTTCATCAAATGGACTCCTTTCGCCTATGCTTATCACATTACAGGCCTAGCTCTTCTTCTACCAACATGACAGTATATTTCTCAAAAGCGTAGCATCCTAGAGCCAAGTATCTTCATACTTCTCCCATTCCATAACAGGATGGGCATTCTAGCTGGGTGTATTTATTTAGTATCCTAATCTCCTTTTTCCTTGGAAGCAACTCCAATTCCATCACTCACACAAACACACATACCATTTTAGTTGAAAATGCAAATATCATGTTTTGTTGTTATGGAAGAGGGAGAGTTTACCCTCGATGGGTATTGCCTTTGCAAATCTGCTGGCTTAAAGACCCTACCGGCAAGACTTGAGGCTGGGTACCAACACATCCATTTACTGAACAAGCCAGGCAGCCTTCATAACCTGTCAGTTTGTAGGTTTTCCCTGAATTGTCCAGGATCAGCAGATGAAAAGCAGAGTTCTTTGGTGCAACCATGCTCTCCCAATGTGCTCATGCACACACACACACTAACATCACACACACACAGCAAAATATACATATCTTAGAAGAGCACAGTGACTCCTGTTGTCCTCTACAAGCGCTCTCACTCTCTTACACACACGTACACCTTCTTCCTAGTTCAGGTTCTGGCCATCTGCAGTAAGAGCACATGGAGTCAGAGTCAGGGTGCTCTTTGGCCAAGTCTTAGCACAGGCTCTGCAAGAAGAGCCCAGGCCTTGTTTGCCTTCAGCTCCCTTTCCCTTGTCTGCAATCTCTCTGGGCTGAGCAAATAACAGCGTGTCAGACAGGGAGTGGAAGGACATCCTAAGTTTCATATGACTTAGAAGACCATCTCTTAACATGGAGTTCAGCACCATCCTGACTGAAACTAAAAAGGCTGTAAAGATAGATTCGTGTTCACATCACCATGCTTCCAGCTATTGTGCCCCCTACATGTCCCCATATCTCAAACACAGATCTTTCCATCTGCTACCTGCATACATTTTTTCTCCCATCCTACAGTAGAGGTGAAGGGGCTTTGCCAGGATCTCCTGCTAGTTCCCAGGGCCAATTCCTACTTCTTCTGGTCCTCATTAACATGATTAGGAATCTCCCCCTCCCCCCAAAGTCTCATTTCTGGAACGAGGCAGACAGAGGCTGAAGAGAATGTAAACTTCCCCAGCTGGAGAGGAGAGGAGGAAAAGAAGGAAAAGACCAGAGTTATGCCTCATTTCCCCCCATTTATCCATGAAGTTCCAGTTTCCCATGCAAGCCCCCCACTCCCATCACCCAGCCCCCTCTGCCTTCTGGTAGGGGTTTTCCAGTAAGTAACGAAAGCGCTGGTAGGTCTTCAGCAGATATTTAGGGGCATACATTTGTTCCTTGGGGTCTGCAGGAGGGTACTCCTGAATGGTACCATCAAACCACCCACCAGTCCGGATTAGCTCGCGGATATAATTGAGGTCCCGCTTGTCCTCGTAGTCCCCCCAGCGGGGAAAGTCCCCATTCTGTGCTGACACCAGTTTGAAGTAGATTCCCTCAGGTGTGAAGCACCAAGAGCAGTGCCAGCCAGCAAAATGGAGAGGACTGCCCAGGGACCACTGGACCAGGATGTGGCCTGTGCTGTTTTCATATTGCCGGAAGCCGGGCATGGTGTAATACTCCCTCCGGCGAAGACGGATCCCATCTGTGGCATAAACGGTTTGAAGCATTCCAATTGTGCAACCAGAAACCACCTCCAGGGTGCCAGGCTGCTTCCAGAAGAAGCCGTAGAGAGATTTGCGCATATGGAAAGCAAAGGGCTCTGTCCAGCCATCGTAAAGTTTGAGAAAGAGCACGCCGTCACGGGCCGGGATCTCATCTGCGTCATCGATGATGAAAACATCGTCAGGCCGCAAGTTGCGGAGGCGAGAGACGCCGTCCCGAGTCAGAAACGTGCGCAGATAGTCGTCGGCGATCCAGCCATCCTGCCGGCCACCAGGAGGGAAGTGATCCAGGAAGACATAGAGCACCTTGTGGCGGATATAGTCAAAGGACCCGTTGAGCAGCATCTCGCGGAACTTGAGTGGGCGTGGCTCACCGTAGGCTGTGAAATTCGATTCACAGACAACAAAGGCATCCACCACATCCCCCAGTTCATGGAAACGCACATCCAAGAGATCAAATTCATGGTTCACATTGATTGCATTAATGACTCTCCTGGGTACCTCTCGTGGGGTCAGACGGTCTTTAGTGGGGAGGTTCGAATACTGGACGACAGTGGGCACCCCGCAGCTAGGCCCGTGCCAACCAGGCAGGCATACGCACTCCACCCACTTCCGCCGTTTGGTCCCATTAGTGCTCAGAGGCTTCCGGCCTGCGCGCTCTGAAGCGGCTCCCTCTAGTTTCTCTTCCAGCCGGCCTACTAGTGGCTTTTCCAGCACCTTAGTCCCCGGCTTGAAGCAGACCCCTCCAGCTTTGGTATGTACAAAGTATTCTGAAATGTCTTCAGGCAGCACAAACTCCACTCTGTGCAACTCCTCACTGGCTCTGCTCGGGGAGAGAGGCTGAAGCAAAGGTGAGTGGGAATACAGTGGTGTGCGGAGGAACTCCGGCCCCCCCGGCTCGGGGCTGACTTGAGGAGTGACAGGCGCATTGTTCCAGAAAAAGTTAGAGACCAAGTTGGGGCTCAGCGATGCCAGCTCCCTAGGGAATGTGACATAGGAGAGGGCCTTCAGGAAGTGAAGGAAAGAGATGAGGCAGAGACCAGCCATGCACAGAGTCAGAAAAAGCTTGTGGCGTCTCATCTTCATCCTAGGATGGGAGAAAAGGATAGAAGAAATAGTCACGTTAATCTTTTACTAGCCTACAGGGATTCTTTAACCACTGAATGAGGAAACAAAAACCTAGAGTATACAGGGATGGTAAACGTAAGTTAAATTATAACTTAAATAAATAATTATAAATAAATAATTCCCCGCTTCCCTTATTTCTGCCTCTTGTTCCCTCCCTCCCAGGTCCAGTGACTCCAAGCTCAATTAGAATCCGGGGGAAACGCCACAGACAAGTACTTTCTTCATGTATCCTCTCAGCCTGTCTTATTGCAAGGATTCTGACTCAGGAACAGCAGTCGTACACATGTGAGTGAAAGAGATCCTTAAAGGAAGAACTCTTATTGAGGCTTAGCAAATGGGTGTTTTCAAAGCCACTGTTGCTGAGGTAACATGAATGTGTGGGGACATTGATGGGGAGGATTGATGGGAGCTACTTAACTCTCGGTGTAATGCTTAGAAGTCCATGGCAGATTTTCTAGTACAACCAGAGCCAGGAGCGGGTTTACAATGCAACCCTAAGAACACTTTCTTGGGAGTAAGCCTCACTGAACAGATCCAGGTAGGATTCTGAATAAACGTACTTAGGATTGTTCTCATCCCTCCCCCAAACGGGACAGTTAGACAGTCATGAAATATTGCTTCCACACTAGCCTTAGTCTGGAATTACCTTCATCCATTCAGTTTTAATACAGAGTCCAGACATCATTGGCAACACCAATGCATCCCAGTATTTTCCCAGTTGTCCTCCCGTCTTTTTTCAGACCTGACTGGTGGCATTTTTTCTTAAAGTGCCATTGAACTGTTGAACTTTCTGTGTGGGCAGTCAAAGTAATTTTGCTGTTTCTCAAGACTGTGGTCTCCTTAAATTTGCCTCCCTGCTTTCTGTTCTGTTGGCACACTTCTGTATCAACCATTCTTGCTTATGGAGAGGATTAAGCAGAGTTTTTCACTTTGCAATCAAAGGCATTCTCATTTTATTTTTTATGGCAGTTGTCGTTCTATTACAGGATTACAACAACAATTTAAATTAAAAATGGCTACAAAGTGAAAAGCAGTATTTATCAGTTCTTCCCAGGAGAAGAAAGTAATTAAACTATTAAGAGACCGGAAGTAAAACAATGAAAACACAGAGGAATGCAGGGAAAAACAGAACCTTTACCAAAACCACTTTCTTCCAAGTAAATATATAGTAAGATCTTCAGGGGTCTTGTTGTAGAAAAAGAGCTGCCGGAGCTCATTAGCATAACTCATTAGCATAACTTATTTGCATATGCCACGCCCCCTGACATCACCGGAAGTGACAGAAGGCCACACCCCCTGACATCACCGGAAGTGTGTCAGAAGGCCCGGCTACTTACCCTCCTGCTTCATCCTCATTCCCAAACGGAATGAGGATCGAAGCAGAGGGCGGGGGTAAAGAAGGGGGCGGGGCTTCACCACGTGACCGCCCCGCCCCCTAGAGGTTCTCTTCCGGAGCTCCGTACCTGAGAGCTCCCCCCCGACTAGAGCCCTGAAGATCTTGTCCATATGGCCTGGGCACTATAGGAATATTATGCGGCAAAGAGTGCTGTTTAAGTGTTACTAAGCACCCCAGTTTCAATTCTGCTTTTCAGAAGAGGAAAGACCAAGCAATGCAAAACTGTTTTAGAGCACCACTACACACGATGCAGGGAGTGAATGCCCACAATTTTTAATTTTCAATTTTGGGGGGCCAAATTCTGGCTGGGATTGCAGCACAAGAGGTGGGATGGTTTAAGGCTCTCTCCATACCACATAAAACAGCCGCAGGGAATTGTTAGATGAGCCAAAATTGCTTGTGCCTTGATTTTGATTAGAATTGTGCCACTGCATGCCTGAAAAATGAATATTAAAAGCCATGAGAGCTTTGTTCACATAGCTTCTAGCATCATGTGCAGATAAAGCCAATGACTCTATGGTTTTCCCTCGGATGGTCCTGGCCCCGCCCCCGGTGTACCCGCGTCACTTTTGGGTTACGTGGATGTAGCGCGCGTGCGCTCCAGACAACGGCCGGGAGTCCCCCGCTCCGGTAAGTTTCTGACTTGGCAACCCTAGTGGAAGGCCAGGAGAGTGGGCGCTTTCTGGATCTTCTCAGCAGGCCATCCCACAGGGCAGGAGCCCCAATGGAGAAAGCACCTCTACAGGCAGTTGTTGATTTTGCCCATTTGTAGGCTGGCACCTGCAGAAGCCCCTGCTGACTTGAGCAAAGTTGGTGTGGCAGAGTATGGGGAGAGAATTGGTCCTGCAAATAAGAGGGCTTCCCTGAAGGGCTTCCAGAACTACAGGCAGGAATCACCCTTCAAAATGCAAAATAGACTGCCCAGATAATAGCACCTCCTGGCATCACGTTTCTCAAGCAGTCAGGATGAGGCCATTCTCCTGGGCAATCGTGGTGCTTCTGGAATCCCCCTTGCTCCCTGCAGTCTCCCTGAGGATGATGTAACTATTGGCAGAGGGAAATCAAGGCTACAAGGGGTCTCTACCCATTCCAGGCAGGAATGGTGGGGGTAAGCCAATGCAATAGCTTAAATTTCTCCAAGGCATATTCAAAACCCCTCCTGGTGCACACTAGCGTCCCCCCCCCCCCAGCACTTAGTTTTGGAATAACTGCCCTCGGCCTTTTTAGAAAGGAATCACAACACACAGAGATCTGCCGTACTTCCTTAGCAATATGCAGGGGCTGACAATGGTGTTTCCCCACCCCTCCCTCTGACCACTGGCTGTCAGTGGCAGGAGAACAGACTACATGATAACAGCTATGTCTTGGAACACTGGGAAGAAAGGAAGAGAGATATGGAACGATAGCAGCTACAGGCCTCTTGTATCACCCAGGGTGATGCTAGATACTAGGCAGTTCTCACACTCGGGGCACTTCTCCATGAGCTTTTTCATTCCAGTGCTATTGTTTGCTAAACCCATCTGTTTTCACTGGTCTGATCGATCAAGGGTGTTTTGAATCGTTCAGCCTTTTCTGGCGTGTCTCGGTTTGCTGCCACCTGCAGATTTGATGAGCACGCTCTCTGCTCTGTTATCCAAATCAGCTTCCCCAGGGGCACAGAATTCAGCTGCCAAACTTGCAGTTTCACTGCATCATCTTTTTGAAGATCAGCACTGTGCTTTTGTAGCCTTATCTGTCTTGCCAAGATTTCTTGGAGACCGTTGCCAGTGGCTCTCTGCAGGTAATTCAGATAGGCCATGACTGTGAGGCTGGACTATGTATGTGTGGGGGGGAGTTAAGTCCTTCTGCTTTACGCTCTTTGCTCACCAGTCCCCGAGCATGAACAAAGGCAGATTAAGCTTGTCCTCCGGCCCCTCCCTCTCATCCTTTCTGGAACCATCGTGGTACAGTGCTCAAACTAATTGGTTCAAGAATCAGAGACCCAAGCAGAAGAGAGAAATGCTCTCTTTGTCTGCCTCCCCACTTAATTCATCACTAGCCTTCCCATCCAAGAGCCACTGCCAAGAAGTGAAGTGGGAAGGGCTACCGTCCAGACAATCCATCCTAAAGACAACTACCAATTCCACCCCGGCAGCTCAAGTTCCAGTCGCCCTGGGGTAAACAACTGCATACATTTGTTCATAGTCCTCAAGCGCTGGGAATGCCAGGTTCGAGTGACACAAAGCTTTCGTGTGCAAGCACCCTTTGTCAGAGTGTCTCGAAGCTGGCTGGCTTTTGCCTTCAAAACAGGAACCTGATCAAGGCTGATTCTTCATGAAGGCTCAGCACAGGGTTTTTTTTATCATCCCTATGAAGAAGTCATTGCCTAATTGTGCTCTGATCATTCTTCTTCTGCTTTTCTCCTACCCTCTTGGGAAGAGTACAGTCCAAGTGTGTTATCGCATCATGTTTTCAGGGATGCCATCCACACTGGCATAGGGTTGTCAGGTCTGGGTTGCAAAATATCTGGAAACTTTGGGGGTGGATCCAGGAGAGCGTGGGGTCTGGGGAAGGGAGGGGCCTCAGCATGGTACAAAGCCATAGAGTCCACCCTTCAAAGCAGCCATTTTCTCTAGGAGAGGCAATCTCTGTCAGTTGGAGAGCAGTTGTAAAAGCGGGAGATCTCCAGGCCGCACCTGGAGGCTGGCATCAGTTCCCTTCCATCAGCCGCTGCGGCCACCGTCTTCTCTGTCAAGTCATTAAAACACTTTTTTGCATCAGTAATTGCTAAGTCCTGTAACGTCATAACAATCACTCATTTTTAAAACAGCTCTCAAAAAGTCCTCCAGTGAAACAGCAGGGAGAGCAGGGATGCAGGGAAGGTGGCAGGTGACAGAGGAAAGTGTGCAGAGAACTCCTGCATGGAAGCTCTGTTGCCACTGCAAATACCTCTGCATTCACAGCAGTAATGAATGCAAAATAGAGAATTCTCACTATGTGGATGAAGGCTTGCCTTCAGAATAATTTATATAACATTCCTATTGCAACTGGTGGAGATCATCTCTCCCCTTCAGAAACTAGGAGAATTTAGAGGAAGAATAAAACTAAGGAGGATCCAGAGATTCACCAAAAGCAGAAGGCAAGACTTTCCACAGAAGTTAGATCTAAATTGCGGCACACTTTCCACAGGATGACCACAGCAGCTCTTGGGACTGTGGTTTTGATCTCATCAAAGTGCTAAACCTGTACCACTGCAGAGGGGGTTTCAGATACAAAATCTGGGTCCTCCATACACAAGTCATGGGTGCCCCTATAAACAGCAGTATCTTCCAGATAGCGGTTTACCACTTCAGCAAAGACTACATGTACAACACTTGAGTCTATCTAGCTTTCCCCACAATACATCATCATCTCCAAATCCACCCACAAATACCTTACCTTTCCTATTACCGCTGCAGGCAGAGAAGTGTTCACCGTCATACATTCATTAACTTGGGAGAGGCTCAAATAGAATAATGATTATGGCTATAAAATACCCAGTAGGGTGGGACACCACACAGATAAGAGAGGAAAAGAAAAGGGG